AATTTCTATACATTCTGTGAGTCTCAGTTTAGATTCTGTAGTGTATTCTGATGTGTTAACATTATATATTATAAGACTGATTTCCTTGTTTAAATTACAAGCATACCGTTCTTAATGAACCTTTTTTTTATAGAGCAATTTTCGCTCCCTGTGGTATTGTTAGTCTTTGCTGAACAGCGTTTCTGTTATGCGTACACCACTCGATAACGCCAGCCAAAAAAATCCTAATTTTCAATAAATTTCATTATTTCCCCCAAATCGTACAACACAGCAAAAGCTTTACTCCCATGCATCCACATCGTCAAATCTGCGCAATAAACACATCTTGCACCTCACATGCATTACTGTCTGCCATCACCGGCGAGTTGACTACCGAGTACCAATTCGGTCTCGGGCTCAACATGGTTTTCATGCACTGATGTGACTGATGTGTAGGCCTACTTATAAGAATGCACATATGAGGGCATGGGCATAGTTGGGGGAGGGCTCAAGGCTTGCTCGATAGCCATGCTGTTTTTTTCTGCAAAAATGGGCAAATCATCGACTTTAAATGATTGTAGAAATAGATAATAGTAATGAAAATTAGCCTCATCAGTTTTCATCTTTACACGGACGCAAAACTTTCATTCTTGTGGCCTTGTGTCTGTGTGTGTGTGTGTGTGTGATCGCGCGTGCGCGTGCTTGTGCGCTTATGTGTGTACAAACGTGCATACTTGAATTCGCTGAAAACCTTGAGTCCCCGCAGAGACTCGCTGCTTCTGGGCTGGGAGGACTTCGCCAACAGCCGCCTGCTGTACCTGGAGGGAAGCATCGTTGTTCCATATCGCAAGAGATACGTCAAGAAAATTCAGGTGAGGCTTCGGCACGTGTTTGTGTGTGACTTCTAGTATTTGTTATTTTTGCTCTTTTTGCGCGTTTCATTATCTGGCTATATGTCTGGTTAGCATGTGTCATTTTGTTATGTATCTGTAGTTGCTGTGCATTTGTTTGTTGATTATCTGCTTATCTAGTTTTGCTTTGTTTTAGCATTAATCTGGCTGCCAGCTCTTTGTCGTCAGCTATCCACTATCTGTCGTGTATTTATTCAGGCGTCTGTTATTTCAGCTGAAAAGGTGAACCATCGGATCGACTGACATATAACCATTACAATTACCGATCAACGACCAGAAATAGATAGAATCAACTTTGATTTTCTTCCCCGATTTGTCATGCGTGAAAATATATTTTTACATCGCGAGAAAAAAGAAAAACAAAACAATGACACGCCCGTACTCCCGCAGGCTTGGGACGGCTTCACGTGGAAACCGCCCACCCCACGCCCTCCCGACCCTCCCCTCGCCCAACATCACAATAAGCGGGGCAATGGGCGGCAAATCACGCCCCCACCCGCCGTCCATACAAGTGGGCAACAGCAGGAGGGGGAAAAAGAACCGAAGTGATAGAAGGAGGAGGAGGAAGGAGAGGAGGCGAAGGAGGAAGTCGAAGTCGCGGAGGCTGAGGTAGGCTGGCGGACGTGGGGCGCTGCCGCTGTTTTTTTTTTATGATTATTATTGTTTTGTTATTGTTATTGTTAGCCATCGTCGTCATCATCACTAATTCTATCATTATCAGTGTTATTATTAGTAGTAGCACCATTATCATTATTATATTATTGATGTTTTGCTCTTATTCATATGATTATAATGATGATTATGATTAGTTGTGTGCAACTCCGCCAACTCCTCAGAAAGAAGCAGCAGAACGGGACGGACACGCCGGTGACGTAGAAACCGCGGGCGGCGCGTCCTCTGCCGGGCGGCCCTCGCAGACGCGGAAGAGGAGGCTGCCCTCGCCCAGGAGGCTTCCGAGTGGGCTTCCCTGTGTCTCCTTCGGGTGCTTCGTGCTCTCGGAATCCGCTTCAAGGGAACAAAGCCTTTTGAAGCTTTGGGGAACGGAACTGGCCTGGTTACCTGCGTGACCAGAATGTGCTGTTGATGAACTTGCATATGTATGTGTATGTATATGTGTGTGCATGCACTTATATATATATATATATATATATATATATATATTATATATATATATATATAGTACACACACACACACACATATATATATATATATAAATATATATATATATATATATATATATATATATATATATTATTATATATATATACATATATACACACACATATATATATATATATATATATATATATATATAATATACATATATATATACATACATATATATATATATATTATATATATATATATATATATATATATATATATATATATGTATATATATATATATATATATATATATATATATATATATATATATATTATATATATATATATATATGTGTGTGTGTGTGTGTGTGTGTGTATGTATATGTGTGTGCATGCACTTTATATATATATATATATATATATATATATATATAATATATATATATATATATATATATACACACACACACACACACACACACACACACACCACACACACACA